GACGGACAGAAACGGCAACGTGAATATGGTATAACGGAGGGAGTATTTACTATACATGATCCAGTCGAATAGTTAATATTGCACTTATTTTTGCCCCTTTTACTAAAATAAATGCGTGTATATATATATATATATAAAGAAGATATATTTCAAACTATCTGCTACTATTAATTTTGGAACTTTTCTTTTATTTATATCGAAATTTTAATATAATTTATAAAATTATTTTAAATTTTTTAAAAAAAATAAAGACAAAAATAATTGAAAAATTTATCAAAATTAATATCATCTAAAATATTGTATCAAAATCAAAGCCAGCAAAAGTTCTAATTCAAAATATTTTTTTTATTATTTTTATTTGTTTCATTAAAAAAAATATTTATTTTTTATTTCATTAAATGTAATTATACACTAATATCAAAATTACTTTTAATTATTATTTAACTTCAAAATATATAATTACACATATAATTATTTTATACATTAAATTAAATGATAAAAAATATCAAAACCTCTTAAATACTTTCACAAATTAATAAAATATTACTCCCTCCGTCCCAAAAGTATAGTCTTGTTGTGTTGTATATTGGTAGTTAGTAAAAAGTACGAGTAAATAACATTTTTGCCCATGTGAGTATATTAGTGTAAAAAATAGTGGCAATTGTATAATAATAATGACAAAGTAGGAATAATTTTATGGTGATATGATTATTTATGAAAATGAAACTATTATTTTGGGATGGAAAAAAATGATAACCAAAAATATTATATTGGAACAGATTGGAGTATTATTTTTTAATTTATTACAAAACTTCAAAAAAGTATCAGGAGAATAAAATTGAAGAAGTACCTTTAAATAGTACGAATATTTTCTTAAATATTGGATTTGTTCAGCCAATTAAATTTTTTTCCACATTTTTTTATATCAAGATTATACAAATATATTATATTCATTCATAAAAAATAATTAATACTTTAATATAAAATAATAATTTTATATTAATGATAGGTTTCTCCAACCTTATGGAGTATAAAATATACCTCAAATAAAAAATTGCTCCCTCCGTTATACCATGTCCACGTTGCCGTTTCTGTCTGTCCCACTTACCATGTCACTTTTCTTTTTTGGAAAATAATTATACACTTTAATCTCATTTTAAATTTTTAATTTTTTTTTAATTTTAATTAAACTAATTAATTATCTTAATATTAATTTATAATTATTTATATTATAGGATAATTATTTTTACTAATACATTATTAATTATCTACTAATTACATCACTTCTAAAATACCGTGTCTATAGTGTAGCAGACACGGTATTTGGGACGGAGGGACTACAAAACAAACACACTCATTATTTCAATGTGTAAGAAATATTTTGACATATTTCAATTTTTCTATTAACGCCTCGAAAATACTGGCTTCCATTTAAATAGAAATTTTTTATAATAATAAAAATTAGAATTTGATGTGATATTTTACGAAAAAAAATATTTAATATAATATATGTATATTTTTTTTTATGTATAAAATAAATTAAAATAGCTTCAAACTTCCAAAATTGTAATTTAAATAAAGTCTCACTTATTGTCTCACTTCTTGTAATTTTTTATTTATTGAAATAGATTTATTTATTTATGTAATAATTTATTGATTTTGTAACCATAATATTATAATTGTGGCATAAATTTGACTATATTTATAGATAAATAGATTTATTAAAGAAAAAAAAAAAAAAAGTATCCTGCAATGCACGTGGTATAAAATTGAAGAGACAAAAAGCAAAGTTCAACTTTTGTACATGCGACCACATTACTTATATAATTATTTTTATAAGATAATAAATTTATACACAATATATAGTATATATCTTTTTAAGGCTCCGGCAATGGTGCTTATGTCATAATTAGTTTCTAGTACAAAATTATATACTTCGTACCGCTCCAAAACAATAGTCTTATTTTCATAAATAATCATATCACTATAAAATTACTCTTACTTTTTCTTTATTATTACACAATTGTCATTACTTTTTATACTAATCCATTCACAATGGCAAAAAAGTCTTTTACCGGTATTTTTTACCCACTACCAATATTCCTTAAATTTCGTGTCCAATACAAATACAACCAAGACTATAGTTCCGAGACGGAGGGAGTATTATTTTTTAATTTACTACAAAAATTCAAAATGCCCTTTTGGAGTGAGATGGAAAGAGTATTTAATACTCCTAGTCCCACTTGCCATATCCAACTTTTCATTTTCGTCTATCCAACTTATTTTGTCATTTTTTTTTAAAAAAGAAATATAAACTTTAATCTTATTTTAAATTTTTAATTAATCTAATTAGTTATCTTTATCTTAATCCATAATTATTTTCATTAATTTATTCTTAATTATTTACTAATTATATCTCTTTTAAATTCTCATATTTACAGTAAAGTAGACATGATAATCGAAATGAAGGGAATATTTAATTCATATATATAATAAACTCGAATTTGTTCGTTAACAAAACGAGTTTATTCGTGTTCAAATTCTATTCATTTACATTTACGAATAAATTTAAATCGTGCCAAAATGAACCAAACAAAATTAAATTAACAAATGATTTGATTCATTTAGGGTGTGTTTGTTTAGGGGTTTGGATTTTGAGTTGAGATTTGAATAGTAAAAATTTTGAATTTGAATAGTTGTATGATGTGATATAAATAGGTGTTGATGTAATATTTTGAATGTAAAATTGATTTTTAATATAATATAAAAAATAAAAAAATAAGTGTTTAATTTGATATTTTGGATAGAAAAAATAGAATGAACAAGTGGATTACAAAAGTACAACTATTAGCATTGCAAGAAAGGTAAGGGGCCTACAAATAAATTAGTTATTTGCATTTCTGTCCCCAAAAGTGGGGACAAAAGTTGCAAATTCGAGGCCGGAAAAAGTAGAGCGGTTGCGCGTGGGGCTGACGCGGCGGAGCACGGCCACTGTTCGGTGGTACTTTCCGACTGTCCCCCGACCGACCTTTTTCGCTTTATTGCTTTTTTGGTCCTTTTGAGATGAATGGACTGTGCAGAGTATTTTTGGGGCGTTGACCGAATTCCTTCAAAGATTTGGGGTCAAATATTGAATAATAAAAGCTAGTGTTCGGACATGCAGTGATGGCGGATTGTATATATGTAATTATTTTCCCAACCAGCAAATATTAAATACGAATTTTTATACGGATACGTGCCTTATACGTCGAGTAAAATATTTAATTATTTTTCATCATTTTTTATTTTATTTATATATATATATAATTATAATGCCATTGAAAGAATTACCAGCCAAGCATGCATGCCCTGAAATTATTTTATGGATTCATTTAATTCTATTTACCCTTCTCCATATATATATATATATATATCAATTAAATGTCTTAGGTCCATTGAATTATTGAAATATTATTAGTGTTTGGTGCAGCATTGTATGGTTTATTTTAATTTATATATATATGAATATTAATTAACTTATTATGGGAGTCAATTTCGTTGAAATTGAAATAGGCTTAAAGCTAGTCAAGACTTGAACTTGTAAGAAATAACATGATAGCGTTGGAGTGAACTCGTGACCATGAGATTATAAATTTAAATTCCTAAAGCTACGAACGAATTTCTCTGGATAGGTTGGTCCTCAAATCCATGCGTAAGAATAACAATAATAGATTGTAACAAATTTTACAGAGGTGGAATTGATGATCGAACTGGATTATCTATTGTTTTGTATGTTCAATTATCTAGCAAATAACTAATATGTGTTGTGGGAATTTGTATTTTTTGATCTTGAAGTTGTTATATTGTTGTTGTGAGAGGATTTAATCGATTTTCGGGGCCAACACTTATAATATGAATATAACTCAAATCCAATTTAATAAAAAAATAAAAATAAAAATTGAATGGGGCATAAGCTTTAATTCAAACTTCTTTTACTTAATAAATAAGATCAAACTCGATCTAATATAAACTTAAATTGAATTTTAAAAAATATTGATGAATACGGAGTATGATGTAATATTAAATAGGAATATTGAGCCTTTTTTTTGTCCTAAGGGTTTGTTTATTTAATATTCTAGTTTTTTCATCTATTTGTCAGTTAAATTTTTCATATTCGACATGATTTTCTGCAACCGCAAGCACATACACGTACCCACCAGATATCGAACACGAATTTTAAAAATATCTTACCATTTGATCTATAAGGACTTTAAACTATATTTACTATTTTTAGTAACAAGACAATTTATTGAATTTTGGCCAATTCGACTCGGCCCAATCTTCCCGTAGATCTGTTCATTCTAAGATTGCTATCCTAGTCGTGCATATATATATATATATATATATTTCATTCTGAGACATGCACAGTCACTATCTGTTCATATTTTCTCTTTGAAATGTGTTCTCTCTTTTCGGTTTGATCTGTGTTCGACGTTGAGATTTCCGATGGATTTCTGAATTTTCGAGAGACGATTTTCTTGGAATATTTGGAGAATGATCAATGAGTTCTCCACGGTGTGATTTTCTCTATTTCGAATTGTTTCACTTTGAGAGATTAAGGTTCGAATCTTTGGGTATGAGATAGGTGTTGCTGGGTGCTGTTAGACAGCGTCGGAGTTCGATCATCTCTATTCTTGCCTCCTTTTGTGAATAAGGGTTAGCATTATAAATTTGAGCCATACAACATATCGACGTTCTTTCTTAGTGTTTGTTTACTATTTTCAATGTTTTGATTTTCTATTAGATAAAATTTTTATTTAGTTCATTTTACAAGTGTTTTTTATTTACGATATGGATTCAAAAACTTATACAATTGAGTTGTAAAATAGTAAATTAAAATAATAATTATAAAATGGAAACAAGTATAATACTTGAACAAAATATTGATTTGTCCATATAAGATAAGTACAAACTAATCTTAAAACAAGAAATCTTGATTTTAGAAAATGGCCCAATGTAACAATTACAAAAACTAAATTTGATGTTACATTGCAACTTTTGAAACTTATTGAACTAATTTACATTACATTTTTTAGTATGAACAACTTGAACTTCATATAACAATTACATATTTCTTACAATAAACAATAACAAATGTTGTGTCGAACTTTCAACTATACCTCTCAAATTATCTGATTTTAATCCAACTTGCAACCAAACGCACCCACAACACCTCCGGGCTACGGCTTCTTCTTGGGCGTGGAGGCGGCGTGGCCCTCGAACAGGCCTTCGACCACCGCCTCCACGTCCTCAGGCTGGTATTTTATGTACTTATTCACTTGCTTCTCGCTTAAAAAGTGGCGGAACCGCCCGATGAACGATCGGTACGCCGGGATCACGACTGCCGAGATCGATATCCGTAGCTCCGACTGCAATTGCTCGTCGTTGACGACCCACGTGCTTTGCGTCTTGTGTATCTCGTCCAACACGGTCGTGAACGTCTTCAGTCGCTCCTTGAGCACCGTCTTGCTCGCCTTCCCGTTGGCGCCGACCACCCCGTCGGGGCTGAGGCATTGCAAGACGCGGTTGCACGTCTCGCGTTGGTAGTTCTTGTGGTATTGGCGCACGACGGACGACCTCTTCCGGCACCACGTGTCGCTCACGACGCGCCGGATCTCGTTCGAGTTCCGGATCTTTTGGAGGATGTAGCGCCCGTTGTTCATGAGGAAGATGTTGTGGAGCGACGCGTCTTTGTAGAGCTTCGATTTGTCGTTGAGGTTCGCGTCGAGCAAGTCGAGCGCGACGATGACTTGGGCGGCAAACGGAGTCGTTCCGTGGGGGCTCTCGGATTCTTTTTCTCCGGTGGCGGTGTCGGAAATGTTTGGCGATTTGATGAGCTGTGAGTGCTTTTGAAAAATCGTTTCCAAACTCTCGCGATACTCGCAGGCGTATTGGAGGTAGTTCATCACGTAACGCGTTAGCGGATGCACGGCGCCGCCGGGGACCGGAGTCCGCGTCGCGTCGCTTTTGATTGAGTTTTCGAGGTCGCAAAATATGCTCGCCGCAGCCTCGGCGATCCGGTCAGTTGCCGAGACGACTTCGGATATCACCTCGTTGTTGTCGGCGTCGGTGTCCTCGTCGACGTTGGACGACTCCGGCGGCGGCGATTGGCCGGAGCCGATGGATTTGACCAGATTACGGAGCGATTCGTACATGTCGAGGAACCGGAAAAGCTTCTCCGCCGCGCGCTTCGTCTTCGACGAAGCGTAGGCGAAGTCGAGGAGCTGGACGACGACGATGCTGACGATGTTTCCTAACAGACTCCGGCGGATTTTTGGCGAATCGGAGAAGATGGAATCGACGAGCTTCCTCTCCTCCGGGAAGATAACTTCCGAGCAGGCTTTGACGACGGTGATCCACCGGGAAATCAGTTTCTCCAGAGACTCCCATGGCAGTTTCACAACATCGTCGGAGTTAACCTCCAATTCGAATCCTTGCTTCGCCATGTAATTCCGAATCGCATTCCGCCTAGCGAAGGTATAGACCTGACTGCAATCGGTCTCCCTCTCCGCCGAGATCATCGTGCTCGCAATTCCGGCCAATTTCGCGGCGACCTCCGGCGGATAGGCGCGGTAATCGTCGGCGCACTTGCCGGAATTCGAGCGGGAGTGGTGGTGCTTCGAATCGAACGAGGAATGCTTGAAGAAGTTGCTGCTCTTCTGATTATCAACCGCGACGACGCAGATCTCGCAGCTCGAATCTTCTAGAAGCGTCCGGAACTCTTCCCCTAAGAACACCAACGCGCCTTGCAGCACGGCGTTCATCTGATGCATCAACGAGTCGTTATCCATAGCCAAATTCCCAAATTCACCCACCGCCTTCATCAATTTACCCATTCGCTTAACCGCCTCCATGAAAACCGCATCCTCATCTAAATTTCTACCGAAGATTCTCCCCGATTCGCCTGAGTTGTAGCTGTGAATCCTCGTCTCCAATTTCTCCGTGAAATCTTGAACGCAGTCAGGCACCGCGCCGGCGCCGGCGCAGGCGCCGGACGCTTTGTCGGACAATTCATGGATGAATTGCTCGACGTCGCGTGTGATTCGATACAGATCGTCGTTTTTCTCGTCGAATTGCGTCGGAGTCTGGTCGGTTTCAGATTCGCCTTTTTCGATTGAGGTTTCTTCCATGGCTTCCGATCGGATTCTCGGTAATGGTGTTCCTCCATTAACAGTAAATTGGCATGTTTGTTTGTCGAGAGAGAGAAGATGAAACAGCAGAGAAGAATTAGGTGATTGTTTGGCTATGGATGGCTGACCGTTGATCCGTTTGAAAAGGTATTTTTAACATGGGCCTATAATTGGGCCTACTTTTCTTAATAGGCCGAATTGGAAGCCCACCAAAATGGACTCAACTATTTTAAAAAAATTTTAACAATATATTATTAAATAAAAATATTAATTTAAAAATAAAAATACCCACTATTTTAATGGGCCTCTCAAAGCTTATTTATGTTTGGGCTAATGGGCCAATTTTATCAATATTTTCATGGGTGTGGTTAGAGCTTGCAAAATTTAATCCAACATGACATCTCGATGCGAATTCGATATGAAATAATTGGATTTTTATCAAAGATTTTGACCAAATTATATATATGTGTCAATATGACTCGAACACGATAAACAGGTCGGATCAAAGTTGAAGCTTTTAACTCGAACACAATACAACAACTCAATTATGATATATTAATATTAATTAACTATTACAAATGTAAATTAATTTTATTAGATAAGATACAAAAAATTGAGATAAAATAATTGAATTTGGATCAAGAATTTCGACTTAATTAATTTATACATATAAATACGAATTCGATATGATAATAAACAAGTTGGATTATGGTTGGATGATTCCATCTATTTAAAAGTAATAATATTATGGGAAAATATAGATTAAAAAAAAAAACATAGAGTATTTTTTAAATAATTATTTTATAATTGAATAACAAAAATAGAAATATTTATGCTTTGTAAGTTTTCGTAAAGAGTAAATAAAACTCAAGTTCAGTATAAAAGTAAAAGAAGAAAATCTAATAAATTTAAATTACAAAGAAAATAAGAACAAAATTAGATGACAGATGGAGTAGTAAATAATATTGTCCCACATAAATTGTTTATTTTACTGTAGATATTGAAACTTATGAATGATATAATTAGTAAATAATTAATAAATATATTAGTAAAAATAATCATAGTATAATACAAATAATTATAAATTAAAATTAAAATAACTTAATAATTTAATTAAAATTAAAAAAATTATAGCTTATAAAATTTTATATATAATTAAAATATATATAATTATTTTTTCAAATAAATAAATAAATTACATGTAATGTACCAAAGTCCCAAAGTAAAAGAATGAACATGTGAAAGTGGAAGAGTATTAATTTGTTTGCGAATTTTTAAAATTATTGTTACACTATTTAAAAAAAATTAATTTATTTTCAAAATTATATCTAAAACTTATTTTTTTTTCTTAAAATACTCTTACATTATTTTATTTTATGTTTAAAATATTATATTCAATATTTATTTAGTATTATACTATTGAATACCTAATTTGGCCCTTTTTTAACATCTAATGTAGTTTATACTCTTTTAAGTCAACTATCCATCCCCTTTATGGCTATTTAGTAGCTTTATTTATTTCCATAAGTAATTATTTTTCATAATATAGTTAGAATTAAATCAGCATATTCTTTGAATTATTAATAAAATTATAAATTTATACTCCCTCCGTCCCACGTACCGTGACTGCTACACTGTAAATACGCTATTTCAGGAGGAGCGTAATTAGTAGATAATTAAGAATGTATTAGTGAAAATAATTATCCAGATAACTAATTAATTTAATTAAAATTTAAAAAAAATAAATTAAAAAGTTTAAAATGAGATTAAAATGTGTAATCATTTTCCAAAAAGAAAAGTGATATGAAATGTAAGACGGACAGAAACGACAACATGGATATGGTACGTGGGACGGAGGAAGTATTAGGTATTTGTATTGTATATATTAAAATGCATGCAAAAATTAATCGTGTACTATGTGTTACATAAATTATTATCACATATTGTCAGATCATATTATATACACATTTGTGTTATATTAACATTTATTTTATGTTGAGATTACTCGAATTATTTATTTTATTATCATAACTAATCACAATATTGATTTATTTATACATTTAGAATAATCCATTATTAGTTAGTAGTATTAGATTATTAATTTGAGACTAACATATATATAATTAAATAAAAATTTTGTATTGGAATTGTGGGCATGTGATGATTTGGTGTAAAGTAGAGCATAGAATCATGGATGTGTTGGAGACATTAATTTGTAAATTATTAAAAAAAAAAATTATTCGATCTTGACCTATGTTAAAGAATAATTTATCCAATTTTATTTGTCATAATTGTACTTTATTTATTTAATTTTTTAATAAAAGTTTCACATGAACCCTAAAGTCGATTAACATGCAAATTATACGATCATAAGTTTACCTACCACATTAATTCGATCATCGTCATGGGCTTGGGCTTGTTCACTTTAAAGGGTATGTTTTTTTAACCAATTTTTTTTTTTTTTTTTTTTTTTATTTTACTTGAATTCTGCATTTTTCGAAAAAAAATACATTTTTTCTCTAACAAAATATGTCATCAAACATTATTTTAATACCAAACTCAAATCAAATTTTTGCAAATTCAACCAAAAGAAACACACCTTTGTGGTTTTTTTTTTTTTTTTAGTGTATATATATATATATATTTTATGCTATGTATAGAAAATTGTATTTTGTAATATAAATAAATATTTTCTCCGTTCGTTACATTTACAATCATTGTACTTAACATTAAAAATATTTTTATATTCGTTATTATGATATTTGTATAAATATTTTTGTCATTTTTTTATGATTTGTATTACGTTTTAATGTAATGATTAATATTAAAAAATTAATATGCAAAAAGTAAATGTAACTTTGCTAATAGAGGGATTGATATTTTGTTTTAAATTATTGATTTTGTGAGTAAATAAAATATATATTATATATTGTGTTATTATATATATATTATATTATTTTAATAACATTAAAAGAATCGTTTCAGAATAAAATTTAAGTGAATAAACCTTTTAACAGTACTCACTAGTGGAAAAAAATAAATTACAAATTTATATTAATTGATATATTTTAAAATTCAATTATATTTGATATAATAATAATAATAATAATTTATGAGTCAATGCTATTCACTCATAATAGTAAATTAACATTAAATCAATAATATTAAATAAACAACTTTTGCTTAAGTTAGTAAACGCTACTAATTATAAACTAATAGCTCAATTGATAAATAAAATAAAATGAAATAGAAACAACCAATATAAATTCAAAGACTGAAAAACGTTAGTTATATTCTTAAAGACTATTATCTCTGTCCCAATACAATAGTCTTATTTATTATTTTTGTCCGTCCCAAATTAATAGTCTTATTCCCGTGAATAACCATATCACCATAAAATTATCCATATTTTTTTATTTTTATTACACAATTGTCACTACTTTTTACACTAATACACTCACAAATGCAAAAAAGTCTTTCATTCGTACTTTTTACCCACTACCAATATAATATCAATATTTCTTAAATCTCGTGCCAAATCCAATTAAGACTATATTTATGGGACAGTGGAAATATTTACTAAGTCATTTTTTTTTAATATTCTCTCCGTCCCAAAAGTATAGTCTTATTGTATTGGGCACGAGATTTAAAAAATATTGATATTATATTGGTAGTTGATAAAAAGTCAGGATAAATGATTTTTTTGCCCTTGTGAGTATATTAGTATAAAAAGTAGTGACAATTGTGTAATAATAATGAAAAAGTAAATGATAGTTTTATGTTAATATGGTTATTTATGGAATGAGACTATTGTTTTGGGACGAACAAAAATGGTAAACAAGACTATTGTATTGGGACGGATGAAGTATTAAAAATATCTTTATATTTATATAATATTTGTTCTTTTTCCTTTATACTACGTCTTGATATAATAATTAATATTCAATAAAACAAGTAATTGTAACCCCGGATAATATAGTACTCCCTCCGTCCCGGTCAAGATGACCCATTTGCTTAATGATACTGTATTTTAGGTAGTGTAGATTAGTAAGTTATTAATAATAAATTATGATATTATTTTATTATTTTTATATAAATAGTGTTGTTGGCATTTTAAATATTTTTAGCATTATATATCAATAAAATATATACAATATGAATATCATATTGTAGAGAATAAAATTTTATATAATACAAATAAATAAAAATAATAATTTATTCATTTATAATTAACTTAAAACTAATTTTATTAAAAATATGAAGTTTTAAATATAGATAAAAAAATATTTATTTATTGAGGAGAGAGATAGAAATAAAGGGATTTTGAGTGGGTCATATGGGTAAGATATTAGAAATTTAATTAAATTGATATATATTTGTTAAATATGTTTAAGATAAATAAATTTACTAAAAATAGAAATCGGTCTATCTTTAACGAGACGAACAAAAAAAAGTGGATTATCTGTCGCGGAGGGAGTATTTAGATAATTATATACTCCCTCCGTCCTATATAATTTGTCCCTATTTTTTATTTTTGTCCGAACCACATAATTTGTCCTTTCTATTTTTGGAAATATAATTATGCACTTTAATCGCATTTTAAATTTTTTATAATTTTTAAAATTTTAATTAAACTATTTACTTATCTTAATTTTAATTTATAATTATTTTTACTAAATAATAATTATTTTTACTAATACACTTTAATTACTTATTAATTATACTTTATCTAAATTCTCGTATCTACAGTAATACACCCATATTACATGGGACAGCCAGAGGAAGAATAATATTACATAGTGGAGTAGACATGTATATAAATATTATTATATCAAATTAAAATATAAGAGTCTTTAAAACTTCACAAGTAAATAAACAAATAAATAGTTATTTTTAAAAGTGTAATTAATTAATATGACAAGTTGAATCAACATTGCCTGGCAATTCATTTTCCATGGACAGCCTAGCCATGCATGCCTTTATATATTGACATTATTTAAATAAATAAATAACTAATCGTCATTTAATTGAAAAAAAAACAAAAAAACATATAAGTATATTTAAAAATGTTAAGATTCGTTTAACAACTAAAAAATTGATTCTACTCCCTCCGTCCCATGTAATATGGGTGTATTACTGTAGACACGAGAATTTAGGGAAAATATAATTACTAAGTAATTAATAAGTGTATTAGTAAAAATAATTATAGATTAAGATTAAAATAAGCAAATAGTTTAATTAAATTTAAAAATATTATAAAATTTAAAATTTAAAATGTAATTAAAGTACATAATTATATTTTCAAAAATAAAAATGACAAGTTAAGTAGGACGGACGAAAATAGAAAATAGAAACAAATTACGTGGGACGGAGGGAGTACATTATATATACTGTGTATATATATATATATTATGTTACGTGTGTAGTCAATTGTACCACAAGATAATAGTTACATAATATAATATGATATTATTTTATTTATTTATTTATTAAGTAGGGTTGGTAAACTTTTCTACCGACGTTATATTATTATTATTATTATTATTGTTATTATTATTTTCTCCTTATCCATTTATTTTTTGCACGGAGTTTTAAAAATATTAGTATTATATTTAAATAAAATAGAAATAAAGGTAAAAGGACTAAATTAATCATATTAGTATTGTATGATATAAACGTAATGATATTTGTGTAATATACGTAAATTGAAAAAGTATTTGTAATGTTAGGTAGATGGTACAATTACTAAAAAAAATAAATACTTTGTTATTGGACGAACCAAAATGAAAAAATAGATAGATTGCTAATGGACGGAGAGAGTATTATTATTTTACTCAAATAAATGATCACCTCCTTCAAGTAAAAATGTATTCCCTCCGTCCACGGATAAAGTAAACATTTATTTTTGACGCGATATTTAAAAAATAATAGCATTTTAATTATAATAGGTAGTTAAAAATAGTGTAATGATATTTTTGCTCTTGCTTTTTGGTGTAAAAGTAATGGTGCTATATAAAGTAAGAGTATCTGTGAAAAAATTAGGTATTTAATGAAATATTTACTTTATAGTTAAACGTCCCAAAATATAAATGTGTACCCGGACTGACAAAGAGAGTATTTGTTTGGTCGGATATAAAAAAGGAAAAGAAAAAATAGTGTAAAAATAAAATAAGAATATTTTTTTTATTAGGGGATATAGTTAATTAATTGTGTATGTCCGGTATAACGACAATAACAAATTGATATTTACGCAATTTAAAATAATTACTTTAAATAGATATAAAAGATAATTATTATTTACAATATAAGTATAAATTACAAATTTAAATAGAAAATAAAAATAAATTTAATGAACCAGGCTCGGGTGTGTTTGTTTGGGAGATTGAATTTTAAATATAATATTTATTCTAATTTTTCTCCTAAAAAATATCAAATAAACACCTATATTTTATTTTTTATATTATACTAAAAATCCATTTTACATTTAAAATATCACATCAACATTTATTTATATCACATCATACAACTATTCAAATTCAAAAATTTTACTATTCAAATCTCAACTTAAAAACAAACGCACCCGAAGTATACGTATAAGGTGTGTATATAAATAATTATATATATATAGAGAGAGAGAGAGAGATGCATGTACAATTGGTTACATTGATGCCTCCAACTACTCCCAACTAATTGACCTCTCTTTCTTTTCGTCTCTTTTGCATACATTCATTTATATTTATTAAGTAAATATATATATATATATATATTACTCTCTCTGTCAGATATAATATGGGTCTATTACTGTAGACACAAGAATTTAGGTAAAATATAATTATTAAATAATTAAGAAATGTATTAGTAAAAATAATTATAAATTAAGATTAAGATAACTAAATAGTTTAATTAAGATTAAAAAAATTAAAATTTTAAAATTTTAAAATATGATTAAAATGTATAATTAATTTTCCACAAAAGAAAAGGACAAATTATATGGGATGGACGAAAATAAAAAATAAGAACAAATTACGTGGGACGGAGGGAGTAACATTTTATATGTGATGTATAATTAAATAATTATTATTAATAATATTGGTCCACCATTCATGTGTTATATATATAAATTATAAATGAATCATATTATATATATAAGTATAAAAGAGTAGCAATTTTTTTTTTTTTTTTTTTTCATTCAACCACATTTTAATTAGTAAATTAATTGAAATTTTAAAATTTATAATCGATAATAAAAAAAATTTTGCTCATTCTCTTCCATTTATTAAATGATATTGAAAGCTATTGAAGATTAGGTAATATGATTGGAGAGAGAAATGTATATTTACTTTTTTTTATTTGAGTGATGTAATGGAATAAAATGAATTGTATGTTTATATATATATAAAAATATAATTAATTATTTTTAAATTTAAAAATATTGCAGTAAATTTGGGACAAATAAAAAAAAAATATTACAAAGTATTTAGGACGGAGTGAGTATTATGAATTATATTGAAAAATTGTTAATCTATTTATTGTTATTTTTTAATATATTAGTCAATGACAACCAAAGAAACAATATTAAAAATATATATAAGGATATTATTTTAGTTTTATAAATATGGTATGGCCAAATGGAAAGTATATATTGATGCAATTTTTATTTTTTTAAAATAAATAAAATATATATTATATATTGTATGAATGTATATAAATAATATATTTTTTTATAATATAATCAAGAAATGTGATTTTAATTTTGTGAAAACACCCATAGTAAAGACTTTTTTTTTTTTTTTTATATCATATTATTCGGATATGAAAATTAAAATATAATAATATCTTAATATAGAAGTTGAGTATGTAAAAGTAAAATATGATATTATGAGAAATTTATTAAAATGTTAATAAAAAAAATAGTTGAATAAGTGAAAAGAATAATAGAAAATGAGTTGTTTTGTTAAAATAAAAGTAATAAAATTGTAAATGAATAAATTTTATGTATTCGCATGTTGGTTTGACCTTTTTGCTTATTCATTTTATTATTCGAATATATGTATTTTCTGCGTCCGTCTCTAACGGTCATATTTACCTTTTGCTTTATTATATTTTACATTAAAAATATTTTATATTTGTATATTTTTTTGTACAAATGTCCTTTTATTAGTATTATAAGACACTAATTGAAGTATTTTTGCAATTTTTTTCTTAATTTGTACTATATTTTGATATAATAATTGATATTAAAAAATCAATACGAAAAAAATAAATGAGATACTTAGAATCAGTCGAAGGGAGTATAAAATATCTAACAATCCTTATTTAGTGTACTATTATAGTCACTTTTAATCAATTTCGAGTTAATAATGATAGATAATACACGATATAAAAATCTACAACACATAATTTATTATAGCATAATACAAATACAATATATACATTTATAATTCATAACATAATTTCACACAATATATAATTTTCTATGTCCCACATAAAATATTCACATTTTTCTATTTTGCTCACATAATTTGTCTTTTAAAAAAAATATAATTATATATTTATCATATTTCTTCTTCCCATAACAAAGTATTCATTTTTCCATTTTAGTCCGTACCATCAAAGAATTCATTTTTTTAGTAACTGTACTGTCTATCTAACATTAGAAATACCCTTACAACTTACAAAATATTACACAAATGTCATTATATTTATATCAGACGTACTAATAAGGTTATTTTAGTCATTTTTACTTTATTCCTACTACATCCAAATATAATACTAATATTTCTAAAACTACTTGTAGAAAACAAATGGATATTTAGTTATGGGACGAAGGGAGTATTTTAAATTTTACAATTGTTTCAAATGTAATTAAATTATTTAATTATATTAATTTTAATATATAGTTCTGTTATTAATATAATTTTTAATTATTTAGTCATTGTACTCTATCTAAATTTTTATCTACAATAATACTATGGACAATTGGCCGAGGAAGTACTCTCTCAAAAATAAATTTCTCATTTTGTAATTTTAGTCTGACCGAGTCAAAATTTCTTATTTTATTTTTTATAGAAAAAATAATTATCAACAAAATATCAAATTTTTGGCACCTTCTACTTTTCGCATCGAAAAAAATAAATATTATACTATCATTACATATCTATAAAATATTAATTTATTTCAATTCATGTATAAAAATCAAATAAAAAACTTATTATCAAAAAATAATATTTATTTCAATAAAAAAAAAAATTACTTCTATATTATATCTATAAATAAAAACTGTATTAAATAAAAATATATAGATATTTATTTATTTTATATATATATATATATATATACTGATTTGCCCCTAGAAGCTCCACAATCATCCCCAAAAACTTTAGTCAAACAAGGTAAAAGGAAAGTGGATAAATACGCCAATATAAATTTAGTAGTATTAACAGCAAACACACATAAAGACGTGTACGTGCGTGTATGTGAGAGAGAAAGAAAAGGGGTTTTGCAGTAATAAGTCGATCGAAACAGAGGTTTCGGCAGATGCAAATATGAAAAGCCGAAGGCAAAAGCCGGCAAAATTTTTCACTTTTTCTCAAAACCAAAACCTAATCCCCAATTGAAAATTCCTCTCGATTTTTTTGCTTGCTGCCATTGTTGAAGCTTTTCCATTTCCTCACTTATAAATAATAATAATAATATTTAGGTGAAGATAGTAAAGAAGCTTGGGATAATTTTCATTTTCATTTTCTTTTTTCCTGGATTGATTTAAAGCGAGGTACAGTGTATTGTTGGTGGCATTTATGGTGGATTTGCGTTTGGGGGAAAATAAGAAAGGAAGTATCGATTCCTTCTCGGTGAGCAGAGAAAATTGATCTGAGGTAGAAGGAAGGAACTATGGGGTTTTTCCATTGTTTTGGTGCAGGCGAGAAATCGGAGCTTAAATCTCATCAAAAGAGAGACGATCCAAAGGAATTGCTCTCTGCAATTCCTTCCAGTATATCGAAATTACAATCTGGTTAGTGATTGTCTCCTTTTTTGCATTGTAGGAAATTGGAAGTATGTGTTCAATTAGGGTTTCGAATTGGGGATTTGATCTGTTTCTATGAAATTATGTACGATTGTTTGATTTCAATTTGAGTATTGAAATATGTCTCAATGATTTCTTTCGATTAGATCTCTGATCGTGTTTGATTTTGTTGATCTTAATGTTTGTTGTTTGATTTGTTCATTACTGATATGATGATTGATGGTTTTGAATTCAGTTTAGGATTCCTCTGTAATGATTCATTTTGGTAAATGTAATTTCTTTGGTTAATTTTAATTTAAATAATATTTTAAAGTTATGTTTCGAGAAAAAAATTAGGGTGTGATTGTTTGGGACTTGAGATTTTGATTTGGAATTTGAATAGTAAAATATTTAAATTATAACAATGTATAATGTAAAACTAATTTTTAGTATAAAAAATAAAAAAAATAGACTTTTGATTCGATGTTTTATGAGTAAAATTTTTTAAGAATAGTAAAATTTTGGGGAAATTCAATAAACAAACACAACCTTAACCCTTAATGTATTTTTATTGAAAATCGTTCGATCGTTGCCGTTGAATTACAGGCGGCGATCGTTTGAAGGTGCGGAGCAATGCCGGGCAGAAGAAGGATAATGCATCGTCGCCGGATCTTCAGATCGCGGCGCAGACATTTACTTTCCGCGAACTTGCCAAGGCGACGGATAATTTTAGGCCCGAGTGTTTCCTCGGCGAGGGAGGATTCGGGCGTGTGTTCAAAGGGAAGCTTCCGAGCGGTCAGGTGAGAAATCGACGCTACATTTTCGATTCCTAAGGTTTCCGGAGTTCGTAATTGTTAACGCTGTCGGAGTTTGCGATGATCGACAGGTTGTGGCCGTCAAGCAGTTGGATCGAAACGGGCTTCAGGGCAATCGGGAATTTCTTGTCGAGGTTCTAATGCTTAGCCTTCTTCACCAACCGAATTTGGTGAGTTTAATCGGATATTGTGCCGACGGCGATCAGAGGTTGCTCGTTTATGAATTCATGCCGTTGGGGTCGTTGGAAGATCATCTCCACGGTAAATCGCTCGATTTCGAATTTTTTTATTGTCGATCGAAGGTTTTTTAAATGTATGTCTATGTAGATCTTCCGCTGGAGAAAGAGGCTCTCGATTGGAACACGCGGATGAGAATAGCAGCGGGCGCGGCGAAAGGGTTGGAGTATCTCCACGACAAGGCAAATCCGCCGGTGATTTATCGGGATTTCAAGTCGTCGAACATATTACTCGACGAAGGGTACTCGCCGAAACTCTCCGATTTTGGGCTCGCGAAATTAGGTCCGACGGGCGACAAATCGCACGTCTCGACTCGGGTTATGGGAACCTACGGATACTGCGCTCCCGAATACGCGATGACGGGGCAATTGACGGTCAAGTCTGACGTCTATAGTTTCGGAGTCGTGTTTTTGGAGCTGATCACCGGTCGGAGAGCGATCGACCTTAGCCTACCGCAGGCGGAGCAAAATCTCGTCTCGTGGGTGAGCGTTCGATTCGGTAATTTTTAAAAAAATGGTAAATTGATTTTTTTGTCCCATAATTAAACCCTTATCGTTTTAATCCCGTAACTGCAGTATGTCGCAAACTAGTTTCGTAAATAAAAATTTTTTGCAATTTTAGTCTTTCGGCACTGAAGATGCCAATGTGGCACCCGCATGGCTCGCCGGATGACACGTTTCTGCTAGGTCAGCGACAGATTTTTATTTTTATTTTTTCAATTTTTTTTGAAAAAGAAATTCACATGTCCGGCCGGTATTGCTGACATGGCAGACACATGTCTTCCGGCGAGTCACGCGAGTGCCACATAGGCATCTCCGGCGCCAGATGACTAAAAATACGAAATTTTTTCATTTACGGTACTAGTTTGTGACAAGTTTCAGTTACGGGACTAAAATGATAAAATAGTTCGGTTATAAGACTAAAAAATCAGTTTACCCAAAAAAAAATTCCTTATTTAATGAAATGTTGTTAAAAATTTTCGATCGGTGCAGGCGCGGCCATTGTTCAACGACCGTAGAAAATTCCACAAACTCGCGGATCCGCGGCTGCAGGGGAAGTTTCCGGTGCGGGGGCTTTACCAGGCGCTGGCGGTGGCATCGATGTGCACCCAGGAGCAGGCGGCGGGTCGACCGATGATCGGGGACGTGGTGACGGCGATTTCGTATCTGACGAACCAGGTTTACGATCCGAATGCAGCGGCGGCGGCGGTTTCATGTGGCGGCAGCCGGTCGGAAAATCGGAGTAAAGGCGATGGTGATGGGTCGGAGAAGGAGGAGTCGCCGCGGGAAAATTTGAAATCAATAAATCGGGATTTGGAGAGGGAAAGAGCCGTTGCGGAGGCGAAAATGTGGGGGGAAAATTGGCGGGTGAAACGGCGGGAAAGGGAGAGTAGCTTCGATGCTGCCGAGGATTGAACGTGGGAGAAATCGAAGAATAGTGTGTATCTATGTATGTATATGTATGTGGTTTGGATTTTATTGTTTTGGAGACTATTGAGGTATCAATGTTGTGTATAATTAATTTTGGAAGAAATTGCAGAAACTGATTAATGGTGTTATCATCGATCACTTGTAAAGGTGGACTTATGTGTATATTTTTTCTTGTTACTTTTTTTTTTTTTTTTTTATTTATTACTCTCTTCATTAATTGTCTAAAAGTATACTCATTTAATTTGGATAGAAATTTTAATGTGGTATTGTTATCTTTTTCTTTTTTTTTAATATATATAATTAAAAAAAAAAAAGTGAAAAATAAAAACGAGGCAAGAAAGTGTGACTTTTTACTAAAACATATAAGCATATTTTCTCTTAATAAAAAAATAATAATAATATTTCCTCTGTCTCAATTATAAATTTATCCGATGAACTAACATCTACTCATTCATATGCTCTAACACATATTATACTGTAAATATGTAATATGAATTTATATATTTTATGTTATCAATGTATATTTCATATCATTTATTTACTTATTATTTTTGGTTACATGATTCTTATAAATGTTAATAATAATAATAATAATAATAATAATATATTAAAACAATATACTATATACTCTAGAGTAGGCAAAAAACATAACCGAATATGGAAAATGAAAAGTTTAGTACTGAACAGTGGAGTATACAATTTTAGTTTTGAATCGGTTCAACGGTTTGAAATATTTATAAATATTTTTATTTAATTGAAATTTTAATTGTTTTTAAATATAGTTCGTGATTTTGAGTATTTGTTTGATTCGGTTCAAATACAAAATATCTATATATTTGTAAATAACTGTATCCACCCCTAATATACTCTACTTACTCACAATAAATCAACAATTTAATATAAAATATTACTCTCAACGTTCGGCTCTAAGGATCTCATTTACCTTTTGCGCCATCGTATTTAATATTAAAGATATCATTTCATTTGTATAATTTTTCCGTAATGTTATTATAATAGTATTATAAGACACTAATATAAATATTTTTATCATTTTTTCTTAATTTGTATTATGTTTTCATATAATAATTAATATTCAAATATCAACACGAAAAAAAATAAATGAAACTCTTAAAGCTGGACAGATATAGTATTTTTTATATTAACAATACAATTTTATATATCTAATACTCCCTTCGTCTCATAACTATGTATCAATTTGCTTTTTGCTCGGGGTTTTAAAAATATTACTCCCTCCGTCTCAGATACCATGTCTGCTACACTGTAGACACCGTATTTTAGGAGGAGTGTAATTAGTAGATAATTAAGAATATATTAGTGAAAATAATTATCCTATAATATAAATAATTATAAATTAAAATTAAGATAACTAATTAGTTTAATTAAAATTTTAAAAAAATTAAAATTTAAAATGAGATTAAAGTGTGCAATCATTTTTCAAAAAAGGAAAGTGACATGGTAAGTGAGACGAACAGAAACGGCAATGTGGACATGGTATTTGAAACCGAGAGAGTAGTATTATATTGGGATATAGTATGAATAAAATAGAAATAACTAAAATTAGATAGATAATACAATTACTATAAAAAAATTTTTTTTATATGATGAACTAAAATAAAAAAAATAGATAATTTGTTATACGAGAGAGTATAAAAAATATATATATTCATTAAATAAAAGAAACCTTAGTCAACGCCTATATTAATTAGTTTCAATCTGTAACCGCCGCCGCCGGCGGTGAAAAATATGATTGACGGGTAAATAGAGGGCATAATTGCAGCGTTTATTTAATTTTACTTATATATATATATATGGTCTCCGTCATTTAAATCTATGTTTTTTTTTTTTGAATTATTATCGAAAAATATTTTAATAAAAAATTATTTTATTTTTATATTATTTTTTTACTGTAAAAAAAAATTAATAATTATTACTCACTTTTATTAAAATTCGTACCCGATCAAATGAATACATATTTATATGACGGAGAGAATATATTTTTTTTTTATTATTTATTTTATTTTTAAAATTTATTTGAAATATTTAAGTATTTGTTTACATAATTTAGAGTTTGACGTATCTGTCTTTCTTTCATTATCTCCTTTTTGTTTTCTCCTACAAAACTAACCCAACACAACACGCAACGCAATCTCCTTTTTTATTCTATTGCTACTAGTTCATTTATTTTTTTATTTGAATTTTAATTTAAATATTTTTTATTTCGAGCTCTTTATACCATATTATTTAAATGTACAAAAATTTTAATATAAAAATATATAAGAAAAAATTAAGTAGAAGTATTTTATTAAAAATTTAATTAAAAAAGGTATGATAAATAAAAAATAACGATAAATTGGTTAAATATTTTAAAGTAATAAATAAAGTTTTTTACTATAAGTGAATTATGCAGAAAATATAGACAACAAAATAAAAATGGTATAATTGGGATAGAGAAAATATTTTTCATAAATAATTTAATAAAAATAATTATTATTTATTAAAAAAAAAAATGAATTTACTAGGAGTATCTTTTACTCAAAACAAAACAAAAACAAACAATACCTAAAAAAAACACAATCTAAGGGATATGTGGAGATTTAAATAATAAAAAAGCAATACTATTTTATTAGAATGATTTTCCATAAAAAATACACTCAATGGGTTCCAACTTATATATATATTATTATTATTATTATTTTATTATTTTTGAGTATTTTATTGAAAATATTATTTCACTCTAATTCAATGGTACTCATTTTGTTATTTTCGTTTGTTTAAGTGAAAAATATTCAATTTTTTAATACATAATACATTTTAATTAAATATTAATTTATCTTTTTTTCAATATAATCCTACTAATATCATGGCTAAAATAGACTTTATACTATTCTATTACTCTTTCCGTCTCAATACAATAGTCTTGTTTTTTGTCCGTCCTAAAATAATAGTCTCATTTCCATAAATAATCATATCACTATAAAACTACCTTTATTTTTTAATTATTATTACACAATTGTCACTACTTTTTACACTAATACACTTACAAGAAAAAGTCTTTTACTCGTACTTTTTATCAACTACTAATATTATATCAATATTCCTTAAATTTTGTGTCAAACACAATCCAGACTATAATTTTGGGACGGAGAGAGTACAATATATATCTATAAAATAAGAAAATACTCAAGTCCGAATGTAAAAGTCAAATGAATATATTTCGGAGGTAGTATCAATTTTTTTATTATAATAAAAGTAATTACATATTAATATCAAATATCATTTATTTTTATATAAATTATAAACATACTATTACATATATATACATAAAGTACAAAAATATCAAAATCATTTTGCACACATCTACTAATTAATAAAGTACTATTTTTTCTATCCCAGTAAAAATGTCCAGATTATTATATAGATTTAGAAAAAATATAATTAGTAAATAATTAAAATAATATAAATAATTACTATATATTAAAATTAAAATAATTAAATAATTTAAGTAGAACTAAAAAATTATAAATTATAAAATTAAAATGTTACTCCTATTAAAGTGAATAATCATTTTTTTAAAGAAAAAAGATAAAATATGTGGACCGATCGGAAAAAAAAAATAAACTGAATATTTTATATGAAACAATAAATATTACTCCCTCCGTCCCAGATACCGTATCTGCTAATTAGTATGAGTGTAATTAGTAGATAATTAAGAATGTATTAGTGAAAATAATTATCCTATAATATAAATAATTATAAATTAAGATTAAGATAACTAATTAGTTTAATTAAAATTAAAAAAAATTAAAAAATTTAAAATGAGATTAAAGTGTGTAATAATTTTCCAAAAAAAGAAAGTGACATGGTATATGGGACGGACGAAAAGAAACGGCAACATAGACATGGTATCTGGGACGGATGAAGTACTATTTTTTAATTTATAATAAAAATCTAAAGGAATACTTTCGTCTCTAATTCACCGCTCTCACACACTATTTATTTATTTATATATTTATATATGATGTTGGTTGCTTGTGGGATTCTTTCAATTTTTATAATTAAAAAATATTGGGAATGACTTTTTAGGGTGATAAAAGACTCGATTTTTTTAAGATTTGAATCTGATTTCATATTTATTTATTTATTATATGAAGTGTTTTTCCTTAAAACTATTGAATTTGACATTTAGATTTATTTAAAGATTACTAAAAAAATAAAAAATAAAAAAAATTAAATAGCATACTATTATCTTTTTATTTATATTAATCAAATATTGCTTTAATTTTAATTTTTATTATTTTAAAATTATAATTAAACTCAAAAATAAATAAGCAAAACAGATACAATAGTCTACTTTTACTCCTGTCTTAGAAATTAATTATTAATAATTAATTAATTATAATATTGTGGGAAGTCTATTCAAAGTGAGACATTTGGGTTGAATTACAAATAGTTTATTGACGTGCTTAAGTGAATCAATGCATGTCTTTTTCTTAAATTAAAATACCCACATTTTAATTAATTTTATTCTCAATTTATATAATACTCCCTCCGTCCCGTCCCATGTACCGTAATATAAATAATTATAAATTAAAATTAAGATAACTAATTAATTTAATTAAAATTAAAAAATTAAAAAGTTTAAAACGAAATTAAAGTGTGTAATCATTTTCCAAAAAAGAAAAGTGACGTGGAATGTGGGACGAATAGAAACGGCAATATGGATATGGTACGTGGGATGGAGGGAGTATCAAATATATATATATAAATATAATAACAGTTTTTTTTTATTGGTTTGGAGAAAATTTTGATTTAAATGGAATATTTTGTAAGAGAAAAAAAAAATTGACAACTACAAAATTGAAATAGTAAAAAATTGAAAATTTGGTACAAAAGAATATATTATTAATTTGATATTATATCTCCAAAAAAAAAAAAAGAAAAACTATAATTATCTTGTAAATTATGGATATTACTGGTCTATTTTCTTGTAATTTTAATTTGAAATTAATTTTATTTATTTTATACAATAGTAAGTACTTTTAACTTTTTAAAAAAGTAGTATTCATTTTCTTTGTACTTTCAAAGGCAAAAATGTCAAAATATATTTTCACTAATTAATACTTCATCCGTCCAAACAATAAGTATACATTTACTTTTG